AAGGAAGAAGTGGGAATTACATGGCCCTCCAGATAGTGTTGGATTGCACTTCCTAGCATCCCTCGCCATTGGCCATGCTGGCTAGGGCTGCTGGGATTTGCAACCCACAACCCACACACGATTCCCTGCTTTAAGACATCTGGCCATTTTTAAGGACTGCTTGGCTTCTCCCCTTTGGGAATTCTAGAAAACTCATAGAGCAAGCTAGTATGGAAATGCAACTTGCCTCTCAAAGACATTGCCCTCCTGTGGATTTCAATCTGTGTTTTGCTTTTATGGATCAATGAATCTTCCGTCCTTTTTGACACTCTTTAATCTGCACTCCTGCATATATACCTATATATCTTCAAGGGTTTTAGACTTTTTAAAAGTAGTGTTGCTCTTACTGGGAAAGCTTATTTAATAGTTTTTAACTGTTCTTTTAAAATTATGATTACCATTTTGCATTGTATTTTTTAATGAGGGGAAAGGCAAGGTATTAAACAAACAAACCATATTGCTGCCCCAGGAGAGCTGCGATTGCATAGCTGTGAGGCTGGAATGGATGATCTCTGGGTTCTCTCATTCTCTGGACAGGATTCAATATGAAAGCTTTGCTAACTCTTTAGTTAACTGAACCTGAGTAATGATATTTGCTCTGGCATCCTACGGCGGTCTTATCGATGTGTAAAGTCCCCTGCAGGGTTGCATCTACACTGCAGAATTAATGCAGTTTGACACCACTTTAACTGCCCTGGCTCAATGCTATGGATTTCTCAGATTCATAGTTTTGTGAGATATTTAGCTTTCTGTGTCATAGAGTTCTGGTGCCACAACAAGCTACAAATCCTAGAATTCCAGAGGATGGAGCCATGACAGTTAAAGCGGTGTCAAACTGCATTAATTCTGCAGTGTAGATGCAGATCTATGTGGTGGGACATTTTTAGCCAATGTAGAACCAGTGTGGCGTAGTGGATTAAGTGCTGGACTACAACTCTGGAGACCAGAGTTCAATTCCCAGCTTGGCCATGAAACCTACTGGGTGACCTTGGGCAAGTCACACTCTCTCAGCCTCAGGAGAAGGCAATGGCAAACCTCCTCCGAACAAATCCTGCCAAGAAAACTCCATGAATACCCCAAAGCCTTAGGCCCACCATACGTTGGAAACAACTTGAAGGCACACAACAAGGAGCAACAGAACAGCTCTATTCAGTTCAAGGCTGTGGAAGCAGAGTTGTGTGTGTGTGTGGTGCCACGGAGCACAGAGGTGCATTGCACATGGATGCACACTGATGTGCATCAGTGCATACTACACATTGCGTATGGAGATTTGTAAGGGCATTTGGCATCACAATCCCCTAACATGACAACACTGACCAAGTCTCCGAAAGCTTAGGCTGCAGCGTCTTTTGCATGGTTAGTCTCAAAGGTGCTACAAGATCCCTTTGTATACTGATATTCCAGACCAGGGGTAGGCAACCTAAGGCCCAGGGGCCAGATGCGGCCCCCCGAGGCCTTTGGACCGGCCCCAGGCCGGTTCTGCCGCTGCTGCCGCCTGCCATGATGATATTGATTATTGTTGTTATTACTTGTTCTTGGGGTTTTCTTGGCAAAAACTCTACAGGGGTTTTGCCATGGCTTTTCTGGGGCTGAGAGAGTGTGCATGTATATATTTTTATTTATTTATTTATTTATTTATTTATTTATTTATTTATTTTTGGTGCTTCTGCTCCCCAATTGTCTGAGGGACAGCAACCCGGCCCCCGGCTCAAAAAGGTTGCCTACCACTGTTCCAGACTGGCATAGCTAGGTGTCCGTAAATTGGGGAATGCCAAACTAGGCTCTATCTCGACCGTGTGAGACATCAGCCATCTTTTATCCTGTGTTTTTTGCAGTGCTGCTGTGAATCTGGTCCTACCGGCGCACAAGGGCCGACGAGAAGCAAAGAAAGGACATCTCCCTCCTCCGCACCCTTGCAAAATATATTCAGAGATTCCTCCACCAAAGAGCCTGCTTTGCAATAGGAGAAGTTGGCAAGCTGGTCAAGGAACTTTCTTTGGTGTGGTTCTTCCTAAGCAAGTCACGCCCGACCAAAACATCTTCACCTTCCACTCCCTTTGCATTCAGATGATGACGTCTCAGGCCTTGGGGTGTGTGTACGTGTGTGTGTGTGTGTGCAGATTAAATTATTCACGCCCTTTTGGTTGTGATGCCTTTTGTTTGTTTGGGGAACTGACCATATATGAGTCCGTTAACAGGTCTATCTTTCCATGGTGTAAATCAGGGGTGAGCTCAATCTGATGCTGGGGTCTCATGTGGTCCTTAATATTGTTTCTGTGTCCCTTGATCTCTCTCAAGACTCCCCAGACAGGCTGCTGCTGTTGTTAAATGCCATCAAGTCAAGTTCGATTTATGGCGACCCTATGAACGAGAGACCGCCATGTCCTCAACAGCTCAGGTCTTGCAAACTCAGAGCCGTGGCTTCCTTGTTGGAGTCTCTCCCTCTGCAACGCAGCTTCATTTATATACCGCTTCATATCGCGCTATGGGATGTCTAAGCGGTTTACAACTGTGAGCTGATTGCCCCCCAACAATCTGGGTACTCATTTTAGCAACCTCGGAAGGATGCAGGCCTGAGTCAAGCCTCAGCCCTGGCTGGTATTGAACTCGCAACCTTGTGGTCTATGAGTGAGTGGCTGCAGTACAGGCATTTCACCACTGCGCCACCAGGGCTGGAAAGTGGTCTTATAGAATCATAGAATCATAGAGTTGGAAGAGACCCCAATGGTCATCCAGTCCAACCCCATTCTGCCATGCAACAACTCACAATCAAAGCATCCCTGACAGATAACCATCTAGCCTCTGTTTAAAGACCTCCAAAGAAGGAGACTCCACCAA